TTTTTTTTCTCCTTTATCCTCTTGTTTTAAATTTCTAAGTTTGTAGCATTATGGTCTGAGAAGATGCTTTGTATTATTTTTATGTTTTTTAAAATTTATTGATGCTTGCCTTGTGACCTAAATTTTGATCTATTCTGGAGAACAGTCCATGCACATTGGAAAAGAAAGTATACTGTGCTTTTAGGGGATGCATTAGCCTATAAATATGTATGAGATCAAGTTGGTTTATTGTGTAGTTTAATTATTCAGTAACTTTGTTGAGTTTCCTTCTGGTAGTTCTATCTTTTCTTGAGATTGGTGTATTGAAGTCTCCAAGTAATACAGCAGTTTTGTATATTTCCTTTTTCAGTTTTGTTAATGTTTGTTTTATATATATATTTTGCAGGTCTTTCATTTGGTGCATAGATAAATACCACTTTATTTTTAAAATAATGATTTAGCTTTGGTTGTTTTTAAGAGCATGTCCTTGTTATTAGGTACCATCAAGTCAAAATCAACTCATAGCTGACCCTCCAGTGGGTTTTCAGAGGCTGTAAATCATACAGTAGGAGATTGTCCATGTTCTTCTCATGGAACAGCTGTTCGAGTAGAACCATGTGCCTTTGGGCTGTCAATGCAACTCCTCTGCACTAAGTCATCAGAGTTCTCTTGTTAAGAATATAAACAGTAAAACAATTATAAGATACCATCTCACCTGACTAACAATAGCAAAGTTCAACAGAGCAGCAAACAACAAATGCTGGAGAGGTTGTGGAGAAACTGGAACCCTTCTTCATTGTTGTAAGTGTAAAATGGAGTTTAAATGGTGCAACCGTTCTGGAAGGCAGGATGACGCTTTCTCAAAAAATTGAAAATAGGAATACCTTTTTATATTCACATTAAAAATAATCCACCAAGTTTATATTTTACAAATTAGATATGTTCCATTTTTTAAATGAAATGCAAATTCCAGAAAATATGCCTTGTTCAACTTTGTATGGGTATCTTTCAAAAGTTGTTCAGACAAAAAAAAGAAAAGTTTTAGGATGAAATAATCTTACAAATATTAGTTCTTTGAAATGGCACTCTAGAAATTTAAACTTCAGAGTTGGAGTCAGAAAACGACAGTTTATTTCGAGACCACAAAGACTGAAGTTTGGTCACTGAGTTTATATAAACTTTAAATGTTTTGTTCTTTGCCCTTATTTTTTTAAAATAAATTAAAAAAAAAAAAAAGAAATACCATTTGACCCAGCAATTCCGCTACTGGGCATATACCCTAAAGAAACCATAACTGCCACTCAAACAGATAATGTATACCCATGTTTATTACTGCTTTGTCACAACAGTAAAAAGATGGAAGCAACCCAAGTGCGCATCAACAAATGAATGGATAGAGAAGCTGTGGTATATTCACACAATGGAATACTATGCTGAATTGAAAAACAAGGAACTCATGCAATATTATTCAAAATGGGTGACCCTGGAGGACATTATGCTGAGTGAAATATCTCAGTCACAAAAGGACAAATACTGCATAGTGCCATTGCTATAAAACAGGACTGACAGGGGATTGGGGGAAAACTAAGAAAAGAGGGATAAATAATGAACACTGCATTGAAATAGATAAGGGAAAGAACTGTCTAAAAGAAATACATGTTTAGATATTATTTGCATGACAATAGTCAGGAATAAGTGGTGCATAGCAAAGTGAACTGGCTGGCGGAAGGGGGGTGAGGGAGGGAAGAAACTGTGCAACAATGAAAGAATCTTTTTAAAGAGAAAAGCGAACTGAGAGGGGGTAGAGGAAAATGTACAACAATGAATGAATGTAAATCCATGTTCTATGTAACTTTTGTTAAAATATCAATAAAAAATAACAACAACAGAATAAAGAATACAAACAGCACTGATTGGTCTTGCCCCTGTCGAAGACTGACAGAGTCCAGGAACTGGTACCCCACTCCTGTCACGCCTGTTGAACTCTGGTTTGTCACCTTGGTGGAAGAACTGAAGCCAACAAATCAGACATTGGACAGTGCCTGTTAACCAGCTTTCAGAATGAACCAGTTCCAACTGAGACATAAGACCCCTCCTCTGGCTTTGCCCCATTTCAGCAGGAAGTAGTTTTTTGATCTCTTCCCCTTTATTTAAGTTGGGAATGTAAGGTTGAAACCAAAGATATTCCATTTTGCTGAACTTCTGACCCACCCAAGTATTGCCCTGTGTTCCAGGAAATAATAATCTGATTAGTGTTTACTTGTAAACACAGCTTTATGACACACCCCAGGAGATAAAACAGGGAGTGGTGAAATAATGGCCGCTTCCCCAGCCAGCCAAGGGATAAACACCTTACTCTGTCTTTGTTTGGTGCTAACGCCAATTGAGCCTCAGCCTAGTTTCACCAAAGTGTGCATTTTAAAGAAAGCATATTTAGTATTTTAAAAAAAGGAATATAGACAGCAAAAATAACCTTAACCCAACTGTTTCTGCATGTACAAGTCAATGACAGAGATTGTATTCCTGAGGTGTGCAACCATTTATCCCTCTTTTTCTGATCACATCAATTCACTGTCCACTAAGGTTCCTGCTTCAGGTCCTGAGCAGCTGCTGTCAATTTGATTCCACACAAGCACATCTTACATTATTGCCCTTTGCCTTATTGTACTTTTCAGATACTGTATTGTCTAAAAAGTGAAGGTTTGTGGCAACTCTTTGTTGAATGGCAAGCCTATCTGCCATTTCCCCAACAGAACGTGCTTACTTTGTGTCTCTGCGTCCCACTTTGGTAATGTTTGTAATATTTCAAACTTTTTCATAATGTTGTCACACACTTAATAGACTGTAACTGCAAGAAGCTAAGCCACAATCCCGAGGGTGCGCGGTTCAATCCACCAAACGATCCTCTGGAGAAGGATGAGCAGTCTTTTCCTGTGCCAGTCGGATATGTCTTGATGGCACACAACAACAATAACAATAAAATAAAGTGTCACTAAAAAAAAAACAAGACTGTCACTGTTGCTGTGTGCCAGTGACCCTGTAGAGCTCCACTGGTTTCTGAGGCTGTATTCTTTCTAGTAGACGACTGCATCATCTCTCTCCAGAGGAGCAGCCAGTGGATTTGAACTGCAGACCTTTAGGTTAGCTGCTCAGTATCTAGCCCATTGTGCCAACAGGGTTCCTTGATAGTCCACCCCACCCCATCGGCATCAAGTTGATTCAGACTCATAGTGACCCTCTACTGGGTTCCAACGCTGTAAATTTTTTAAAAATTTTCTATTATTTGTGTGTGTATGTACCATCAAATCAGATCTGACTGGTACAGGAGGAGATTGTTCCTCCTTCTCCAGCAGAGCATCTGGTGGATTTGAACCGAGCACCTCTGGGACTGCAGTGCAGCTTCTTGCCACTAGGCAACCAGAGCTTGCCAATGCTGTAATTTTTACGGGAGGAGACTGCCCAGCTCTCTGCTGGGATACAGCTCCTGAATTCAAACCACAGACTTGTGGGTTAGCAGCTTGATACATGATACCACCTGTGCTCCCTAGCAGCCTACAAGTTGAGTGTAAATACATGTTATATGCACTGGGAAATCACACAACATGTGCCATTTCCTTTACTGCAACATTTGCTTTCTTGCTGTGGTCTGGCATCTAACTCCCCACATCTCTGAGGTTGGTGTGTAAACAGTCTTTCCACCAAGCATTCTGGTGCTATGTTAGCACTGCCTTCTCCCCTGTTGAATAAGTCAAAGGCAGCCCAACCTGGACACTTTGTTTTTCTTTTCAGTGTGTGTTTACCTTTTTTTACCTCTTCTCGCTCTTGAGTGCTGATCATTTGATTTTATATTGCCTCTCCCTACACTCAATTTAATCAACTCACATAAGCAGCAGTCAAGAAATAAAACAACATTTTGCACTGGGAAATTATGTTGCCCAGAACCTCCTTAAAATGCTGAAAAGAAGGATGTCACTTTAAAGACTAAGGCGGGCCTGAACCAAGCACTACTATATTCAACTGTCTCCTATGCATGTGAAAGTTGGATAATGAATAGGGAAGACTAAAAGAGAATTGATGTTCTTGGATTGTGGTGTTGGTAAAAGATATTGACTATACTATGTACTACCAGAAGAACAAATAAATCTATCTTGGCAGAAGCGTAGCTAGAATGTTTCTTAAAAGTATAGATGTGAGACTTTATCTGGTATATTTTGGACATGTTATCATTAGAGACTTGACTTGTCTCTGGAGAAGGACATCATGCTTGATAGAGGGTCAGTGAAAAAGAAGCAGACACTCCATTGAAACAGATGAGGGAGAGAACTGTTTAAAAGGGATATGTGATTGGGTATTATTGTCATGACAGGAGTCCGGAACGAAGGCTGCATAATGGGGTGGACTTGGGGGGAGGGATTGTATAAAAAGGAAATAATTTTTCTTTTACTTTTCAAGGAGAAGAGTGAATTGGGGAGGCAGGGAGCAGGGAGAAAAGTGCAACAATGAATGAATGGAAATCCAAAGTCTCTAAATTTTCATTAAAATTAATAGTAATAATAAAAAAAGAAAAAGCAGCAGACCCTTAATGAGATGGACTAACAGTGGCTGCAGCTGTGAGCATAAACACAACAGAGCAGGAGGATGAGACAGGATGGGTAGAGATCTGTCCTGTTGTGCATGGGGGTGATATGAGATGGAGCTGATTCCATACCTAACAACGACACCACTGACAATAACAATAACATTATCTACCTAGTTCTAAAGCACTGGCAAACACACTGTTATCTTACAACACTGGACAAATGGTGGCCGGGCTCCTGACCCCATTTTATATATGGGACCCAAACAGAGAAGCCAAGGACCCACAAGGCTGATCCTGCCCCTGGGAGGCAAGGACACGCTGTAAGTGGACAGTAGTCCTTGATTCCCAGACCAGGGACAAGAGCCCCCCTGGCCGACCACAGGGATGGCTTCACAGAGTGGCAGCGCTGCACCTCCAATGCCTCCCAGGCTCCCCACCTCACCTCTCATGTTGATCAGTAGAGACTTCTTCACAATCTCTGTGATGGTTCTGGCGGCCTCACTTGGAGATGGGACGAATGCTAGCTCCCAGGAGTCTTCAGGAGGTGGGAAGTTGAAGAACAGGGGTAGCTCGTGGATGGACTGGCCGGGATACACAGTGGCATTGGGGACGTTCTCCGACTGGATCTTCAAACGAAGCCAAATCAGGATCCCAGAGAACAATAAGGGCAGGAAGATCTCCAGGGCTGTGACGATGACCTTCCGTTTCTAGAAGAGAGAAGGAGACTGCACTCCAGCCAGGCCACTGTCTGCTCCAGTGTGGGTGGTGCTCTGGAAGAGCCAAATTGGACTGAACAGATTTGCCCCTTGAAAAATCTAGAAGTTCACGTCTACCCAGAGGTGCCTTGGAAGAAAGAGCTGGCTGACTCTGGAAACCCCCCATGGTCCTACAGGCAGGCTTCAGAGACACTGCATTCAGCTCCGGACCACAGTGATAAAGGAAGTGTCCCAACAGCGCGAGCCACATGAATTTTGGTTTTCTCCATGTCAAAAAAAGGGGTTTATGTACGCTCTACTGGAGTCCACTCCCTGTTGGGGGAGTGAGTTAAGAGTCGGGCTGCTCACAGTCTACAGCATAAATAGCTTAACAAACGTAACCTTCCCAAAACGCACAATCAGAAGAGGATAAACTACATGAATGGGACCTTCTGAAAATGAAATCCTTGCATCAAAAAATGTCTTCAAAAAAAGTGTAAAAGGGACTAGAAAAAATATTTGGCAATGAGATATTTTCCAAAGGGCTCAGATAAAAAATTTAGAGAAAACCCCAACACCTCAGTGAGAAAAAGAGGAACAACTCACAAAATAGGCAGGAGATCTGAAGGCTCTACAGTAGAGCATTCAGGCAGCCAACAAACATGAGGAAACACTCCAGACCACTAGCTTCTCTTGTTGCCATCAAGTCAGAACCTACTCCTAGCTGACTCCCCAGTGAGTTTTGAGAAGACTGTAAATCACACAGGGAGAAGATGCCCGTTTTTCTCCTAACGAGCTGGTGGATTTGAACTGCCAGAGAGTCAATGCCCTTGGGTTTGCAGTGCAACTCCCTACAGGCTATTCCACCAGAGATGGAATCAAAGGGAAAAAAAAATCTGATTTCACCCCAGCAACAATAGCAAAGTTCAAGAAGACAGTGAACAAGAAATGCTGGTGAGGGTACAGTAGGATGAGAACTGGTGGTGGGAATGTGAATTGGTGCAATCACTACAGAAAGCAGTTTAGTGTATCTAGCTATACTGCTACTAGGTATATATACTAAAGAAACAAGAGCTGCAGCATGAACAGATAACCTGCTTACTGAAGCATTATTCACAACAGCACAGAGATGGAAACAACTCACGTGCCATTAACAAATGAATGGATAGAGAAACTATGGTGCATTTACACAATGAAGTACTATGCAAAATTGAACAACAACAATAATTTGTGGAAAATTACATAACATGTAGTCCACAGGACATTATAGTGAATTAAGTCAGTCTGTCACAAAAGGACAGCTATTTTATGTGTCTACTATTACAAAAAGTTAAGAAAATGTTTACTCCCAGAAAGAGATAATCTTGAATGGTTACCAGAATGGGAGAGAAGAGGGGGAGGAAATGAAGACTAAAACAAGACAAGAGATGTGAATTGCTATTGATTTTGGTCCAGTGGAAGGATAGAGTCGCAGAGCCCTTCCCTATGGTCCATCCTTCTCCTTCTCCCTGTCTCCCTTCTGGACTCCCCACTGGACTGGGGCCTGAGCACCTACCTACCTGTAGGGTGTAATTCTTCCAGAGAAGCAGAGCCAGCTGTCGGAGTACCGCCATCTTCCCGTCGAGACCACAGCTCTGGCTGAGAACCAAAGACAAAAAATCAGAGGACACAGTGGAGAATGGAAGTACTTGGTTACTAACTGAAAGGTCAGTGGTTCAAGCCCATAGCCACTCTGTGGGAGACAGACGTGACAGTGTGCTTCTGTAAAGATTTCCAGTCTTAGTACAAAAGGCGTAGCATTTACCCAAAAGCAAAGCACAGAAAGCAGGAAGGAGGCAGGAACGAAGGATGACTGGAAGTGAGAAACACAGACAAAAGGGGGTAAGTGCTGTTCCACTGAAGGGATTACAATCAATGCCACAAATTGTTGAATGAGAAACCAGTTTGCTCTGTGAGCGTTCACCCAAACCACAACAAAAAATGAAAATAGAAAAACTACAGCTATTGAAACACTCTGTTGTTATGTGCCGTCAAGATGTTTGGGTCTCATAGCAACCCTATGTACAATAGCTCTGAACCCTGCTCTATCCTAAGACAACCTCAATGTCTTTCACACACCTACTGCCATTACCCCACTCACTGAGTCAATCCATCTCATCCAGGGTCTTTCTTATTTGTGCTGTCCCTCCACTCTTCCAAGCATGGTGTTCATTCTCCAAGATCCCTCCTTGTAACATGCCCAAAGTATGTTAGACAGAGTTTCAAAATCCTTGCCTCCAAAGAGCAGCCTGGATCCACCCTCTCCAAGACAGACTTGTTTGTTCTCCTAGCAGTCCATAGTATACTCAATACTCTTCTCTAGCACTACAATGCAAAGACATCAATTATTCTATCATCCTTAGTCATTGTCCAGCTTTCTGATGCATAGGAAGTAATTGTAAAGATCATGACCTGGATCAGGCACACCTTAGTCTCCAGACCGACATTGTTGCTCTTCAGCACTTTGGAGTGGTCCTTGACAGAATATTTATTCAGTGCAATTTGTCTTTTAATTTCCTGGCTGCTGGCACTAATAGTGTTGATTGTGGAGCCCAGCAAATTGAAGCTATTAACAACCTCAATCTCTTCACCGTCTATTATGATGCTGCCAACTGGCCCAGTGGTGAGAATCTTTGTTTTCTTGAGGTTGAGCTTCAATCCATATTGAAGGCTGCAGTTCTTGACCCTCTGTAGCAAAAGTCTCACTCTAGGGCAGTTCTATTCTGCCTTGCAGGTTTGCTAAAAGTTGGCATGGTTTTGATGTCAGTGTATTTGGTTTTAGTTTTGGTGGATAGGGGGTAGTAGGAGTTTGGATAGGACAGGAGGAACATCACCAAACACAGCTTCCTCTTCCTGCTTTTGTGGTGATGCCACGGTTAAGTGCTAGCTGCTGACAGAAAGGTTGGTTTAAATCACCCAGCTGCTTGGCAGGCGGGGAAAGACCTGGCAATCTAGTCCCATAAAGATGAAACCCATTACCATCAAGCCGATTCTGAGTCATGGTGACCGTGAGCTGTAAATATTTATGGAAGGAGATTGCCTCATCTTTCTCCCTTGGAGCTGCTGCTGGATTAGAACTACTGACTTAGCACTTAGTAGCACAACATGTACCACCACCACGGCTCCTTCGCATAAAAATCACAGCCTACTTGACCAATAATGTCCCTAGGAAGCCTCTTGAAACTGAACATCACTTCACCCCTGGGGCTGTGAGCACTAAGCGCTTTGAGGATCTCTCCTTCTGGGCTCCAGCTCTTTTCTTAAAAAAGCTGGGTAAGAAACTGAGGGGCATAATAATGTCAAATAGAGTGTATATGAACGATCGTATGAAAAACAACGTATATGAATGACACATAACGTAAAGGAATTATTATATGAAAGCCAAGAAAAAAAACACTGGGGGGGGGGGGAAGAAACTGAGTGGCAGGGTTATCCAAATCTGTCATTTGTGGAAAATGGTCTCTGGCAAGCAGAAGTGGTGCGAGGAAACACAGTTCGCTGAATGGATCAGATTGACGTCCGCAGCTTGAGTCCGCAGCTTGACGGGTTGGAGGAGAAAGCGAGCTGACAGGAAGAGGAAGCTGGGGGAGGCGGGACCATTCAGAGACAGGGGCGGGAGAGCCATCGATGGCTCAGAATACTGCCTGGACGACGCTGAGTTGGTGGATGTTTCAATGCCTCACCTCCGGGCGCAGCTGTGCTGTTATTGGGCTTAATATGATTCACCCAACAACAACTGCTCAAGTCATGGCCCCTCACGAGGAGGACGTCAGCTCTGGACCACCTCCACTTGTCTGATGCTCTTCCGCTCTGGATGTGAATGTTTTTTGGCCACTAGCTTTCTCTGCCTCTTTGACGTCACATTTTTCCACAAGTGTGGCTGGCCTGGTGGTATCTGCTGTTTGATAAGCATGACTCAGATTTTTGTTCAATTGGAGTTTAATCTTTGTTAGCAAATCCTTCAGGCTTCTGGAAGAAGTGCGGTAAATCATACCGGATGAAATTATCCATCCTTCTCCTGGGGAGCAGCTGGTGGATTTGATCCGTGTACTTTTAAAAAAAAAAATTTAAAATAAAAAAAAAATTATTAGTGTGTGTGTGTGTGTGTGTGTGTGTATGTGTACCGTCAAACCGGATCTGACAGGTACAGGAGGAGATTGCCCCTTCTCTAGCAGAGCATCTGGGGGATTTGAACTGCGTAAGAACCGTGTACTTTTAAAAAAAAATAATTTTAATGAACATTTACAGAGAATTTGGATTTCCATTCATTCATTGCTGCGCTTCTCTACCCGCCC